AAAAAAAATTCTAAACATTCTTAAAAGAAATTCTGTTTCTTGCGCTTTCTTTGTACCTTCCTCTTCTCTCATCTTTAACCTAATAGTTATTAATGCTGCTTTGTGCTGCATTGAAGCGAAATCCTTGTTTGATGTTATTCAACGGCTAAAGTTAAAACTAAAAGTCTTCTAAAGAGTATATGTTCATTAATATTTATTGTGGCACTTGTAACATAGCATAAAATACAACTTCAGATAAATATGACAAGTAAACTGCTTCAAAAACAAAAAAAAAAAACATTTTTTTTGAGAAAATAGTAAAGCAGCTAAAAAATACGGAGAAGTATTCAAATATTATTAGAAGTAACATTGAACATGGGAGAGTTTTAGTTGAGGTTTGAGAAGTAACTGTTGAAATTGGTCTTGAGGCATTTTTTTGATTAGAGATAAAGAGAAAAAGGAAGTTTTTTACTTACAACTTAAAAGATGAACCCCTTTCATAATCCCGTAAAGAAGTCTTGATTTATTTTTTTTTTCAATAATTGACACTGCAATTAGTTTCGTAAAATAGCAATTAAAAAAAATCGTGATTTAAAAATAAAAACAAAAAAAATAACAATTTGATAAGAGCAATTAAGCAATATTTTCATAAAAATGCTCAACCTTTTCAAAAGAGCATTGACGCAATAGCTCTCTGCACCTAATTATCAGGAACAAAACATCCTCTACGAAAAGATGCAAAGTCTGTAAATTTGCCGAGCAAACTGTGTTAATTAAATTAGAAAATGTGCTTGCAAGTATATATACCTATAAACTTCTGGGATTTTATCCCGAAAAAGTTACGGAAATTTTCTGGATAATTACGGAATGAAAAGTACAGAAACTTTCAAAAATTGTTATTGGAATAAATTGATATAGCTTTACAAAATTCGTTTTTTTGTTTCATCCAAGTGTTTGGGTATTCTTAAAGTAATTCAACCAAATGTATAAAATAATTAAGATCATCAAGTAAAAAGCACAGATCGTTTAGTCAAACTTTTATAATCAAATTCATCTACTTAAGAATTGCGCTTTTTTTAAAAAAAGCCAATAAAACGCTCAAGTTGTCATATGTTACTTTATGTATATTATTTTTGAGAAACAACAAAAACTAAATGTTTCCCGTGTTAGTCTATCTTTTGAGCTTGTGCTTTTTTAGTTTTTACTTATCTCAACTACAAAATACTCACAAAAGACAAAGAAAAAAGTTATTTTTAGATTAACTAATCTAGCTGTGTATTATTATTGTTAAGTTTTATTTTTACTTATTATTATTTTTGTTAAAGAAGCAAAAAATTTTTGTGAGGTTGCAAATAAAATTTTAAAACAGATAGGAAGATTTTTATAATTATGTTTTAGTTTATGTATGAAAATTGTATTTAAAAGATTTTTATAAAAAGTATATGTTAAAAAGTAACAAGGTATGTTAAATTAGAATAATTTATCTAAAAATGAAATACGAAAACACATTTGATCTGAATGTTTAGTAAAATAATAATAAATTAATTTTCTTGGTATAATACTTATTAAACACCCACCCACACACACACACACACACACACACACACACACACACACACACACACACACACACACACACACACACACACACACACACACACACACACACACACATATACACACACACCCACACACACATACGCACACACACACACACATATATACACACACACGCGCGCAAACGCACAAATCGATCACTCCCACGCATTATTATTGGTTTGTTAATTTATAAAGTCAAAAGTACCCTAGCATGGTTGTGGCAAGTGATACTAAAGTTTTAAAAGCACTTATTTCAACATGGCGGCGAAATTTATGACCTCAAAATCATTAGTTTTTTGTATTTATTGCTAACTATATTTTTACATAGTTCAAATTTAGCAAAAATATTTCATTACTTTTTGTCTTTTATTATCAATAACTTTGTTAAATCAAAAAGAAATATAAAATACTGTACATATTCAATCAAGTAATTTTATATACAATTTAAAAGCTTTCACTAACTTGTAGGCCAACTAGATATTGAAAAATATCTTTTTAAAAATATCCTTTGGGGATAGAGACGCCCGCTATGTTTATCATTAAACAAAGCTTGCTATGGCAATGAATGTTAATATCTTTAACAAATAACAAGATAAAACAATTTTAAATTATCATAATTGCTACTTATAGTGAAAATTAAAAAAATGCATTAAAGTACCGAAAAAAATATTTTCAAAGAGTGTTTTCTAAAATTTTTATAATTTGCTTAATAATATTTTCCCATAATATTGCTCATAACAACTGCCTCAATAATACATAACATTCAATTTCTTTTATAGAGTACAATCGATTGCAACTATAGACAAAATGTTTTATCTTTATAACACCTGGGTGACAAAGAACATTATGAAATTTTTTAGTTTTACTTTGTGATCGATTATATAAAAACAAGCATAGTTTATGATTTCATTATTTGATCACACTTGATTCATTAAAGCAGAATAGAAGGAACGTGTAAAGCAATTAGCCCCTTACATATTTACCTGGTTAATTATGTATGTCGTAGCTGTAGAAATCAGGTTTGCCACGCCATCGCATTACTTAATTGTTCTCAATTTTGTCTTGATAGTTTTGATTGGACATATACGAAACATTGTGTTGGTCGTTCATAAGGTAAAATTGCGCCAAAAAGTATCAAAGTTCCAAATAGTGTCGGTGCCAAAAATGCGTCAAATAGTGTTTTCACTACCGAAGGTCTTAAACAGTTGCATGTGCTTCTTTTTTGTAGCTGAAGTTTGCACAGAGACTTTGATATTAAATCCATAAATCCATTAGCTATCCATTTTGGTTGAATGTTGCAGTTTCCGAAAAATTACGCGCATCTGTTTTGACAAAAAATGCAACTGTTTAATTTTTTTAGAACAGCATTCGCACATTTGTTTTTTAGTAGCTTAAAAGCGCCTTAAAAATGTTCCGGTACTTGTAAATTGAATTAGGGTTCTAACTCTCTGGGTCTGCCTTTATGATATTATGAGATACAACATAATAAATTAATTAATTAAAATAACTGCGATAACACTTTTGCTGCTGCTAAAAGTAATCTTGCTTTCAATAGCTGTTTTGTTCGATTTTTAAAATTAAAGTCGTATTTAGTATGAATCGTAACCGCTACCATTATGTCATCTAAATACGCATAGATAATTTTAAAATAACTCCCAATTATAAGTTCGTCAATTTTCCGTTGAAAAACAACAACTCCATTTTTCGGACCGAATGGAAAACAAGAATAATAATAAAATTTGTCATAGACTTTAAACAATTTCTTTAGACAAAAAATAACGAAAGATGTTATCTTTATTCAAAAGCTATTAATAATATACTAATGGCTTTTGAAGGAAGATAACCTCTTTCGTCATTTTTTTGTCTTGCACCTTCACTTGCAACATCATTACTATTACGTTGTCAGTCTTGTAACGACTAATAATTCAATCAATTTAAACACTCTAAAAAAATGTATTTTGTTTATGACATTTGTGAAAAACAACATCTTGAGCATAACAAGCACTAAACGGATGGCATTGTCATCATCAAGTTAACAAATACTGTTCGGAGCAAGTTTGCGCATACTATAATAAGCGTAAAACTACAACCTTTTGATAGGTTTTGGAAAGCTTAAATTAATTCGTCTTTTGTTTCGCTAGTTTATTATTTGCGTGTTGCTGATGATGTTTTATTTTTTATAAACATTTTATTTCTTGGTTTAATGTACAACTCCAAAAAACTTGCCAAAAAATTGATTCAGATTCCGTTTGCAGCGAGCGTAACGCAAACAAATATAAAAGTTATAGCATTTTGACGTGAAACTTAAATATCTACACAATTTTTAAGAAACTTTACCCAACATTCATAAAAAGTGCTCTAAAGTTTGTACCGTTAGTCAAACGTACTTGAATGTTATGTGTTATCTAGGAAGACCTGAGAACTTAAATCGTATTTTGAAAAATAATTGGATTTTGATATGGAATGTGAAATATGGATTTAGAAAAATTAATTGGATATATATTCATTATTTAATAGTTAAAAGGTTATATTATTTTAATTTATCTATCATATATTTATTATCAAATATTTCATATATATATATAATATATATTAAAAAAAAAAAGCTTGAAGTTTAAAAGTATTCTTAAAGAAAAATAGTTATGCTGTTAACACTTTTACGCATCCAAATTCATAAACGTTAGCTTCATAACTTACAAAAACTTCTTTTTATCTTTAGAGTCTTTATATGACTAAAGAATACTAACAAAATTTGTGTTTCCGACTGTTTTCGGAAGAGTTAACAGAAACAAAACTTTTGTTAGTATTCATTTATCAGATTAAGACTTTAAAGGTTTCGTGAGCTCCAAAGCTAACGTTAAAGAATTTTGATTTACGATTGGATATGCTCTTTCGATATGCGATTGGGTATTGAATTGGATATACACTTCGATATGCAATTGGATACTGAACTGGATATGCGTAAAAATGTAAATAAAATTATATTTCTCCTTAAATATTACTTTTAAACTTTACGCAATGAAATATGAAATATTTGATAACAAATATATGATAGACAAATTGAAATAATAATACCTCTAAACTATTAAGTTATTGACTTATCATGTTTTGTTAAATCAATACAATAGAAATAACGTAACGCAAGAGTTTCTAAGAAAGATAAAAATCATTTTAGTTCTTAACATTAAAAAATGACTTACATCAACTGATGCAACTGTAAATACTTTTGCCATAACATTTTGTACTTAAGCATTTAAAAAAAAAATTATTTTATACACCCTAATCTGTTTAACAAAACTGATTCTCAGGCTTTTGAAAGTATTCAAATGAAAGTGACACATAGATACAATTAGCCTAAACTTTTAATTGTCAGCTAATTCTAATAATACAAAAAATAAACAAAATATATTTAAATCATCTACCTGTTTCTTGTGGAATACGTCAGGAAAATACACTATTGATATAGAAAACTCATAACTGCTATCAGCAATTAGATTCATAAATTGCGGAAATAAGGAACTTATGGAATTGTTGTTTAGAAAATCTAAAAATTTTAATATAAGCAACATTTTAAAAAGTGCATCACTTTCATAAGTGCTTTCACTCTATATAAAATTTCACATTTATTTTATTACAAATTTATTTTCAAGTTTTAAATTAACTTTCCTTTTAAAATAAATTAAGCTTTAAAACTATAAAAAATTTAAGGTTACCTATTTTTTTTAATAAATCAAATTTTGTAAATACTAAGTTATGTTTCAAGATATAACCAAATGACACAAAACGTTCAAGTACGTTCAACAAACATTGCAAACGTTCGATTACGTTCTATGAACGTTTTGTAAATAAACCGAATAATTATGTTTTTTATTTTTTGTTTATAATACAAGCATAAACAAATACAAATACCATAAGCATAAACATAAATATCATAAACACTATACATAACATCAGGAAAGATTTGTGCCTTTCTAATGATGATAAAGAAATTGTAGCAATTAAAACTCTTAACAACAAAAACAATAAATTAAAAAGCAAAAATATTTTATTAAGTTATTTTTATAGACCACCATATGGAAACTTGAAAATTTAAGCTTTTACTTAAAGCGCAACATTTTTCATAAAGCTAACAAAAAAAAGAAAAAAGGTTTTTAGTTGGAAATTCAAATATGGGTTGTTAAAAAATTTCATCATAAAAAAACTTTTTATGATGAAATTTTTAAATCAGGAGCAATACCACTGATTAATTGCCTAGTTGGTTATAAAAAGTTCAACTTTAAAAGTTAAAATTGATAATATTTTAACAACAAATATATATAATACTGGCATGCAAAAAGGCGTTATGAAATCAGATCTAACATTTCCCCATTTTCCTAACAAATAACTCAATTTCATCATCTAATATAAATAAAATAAAAGCTACATAATAAGAAAACGTATTTTTGAAAAAAATTAAATGTTTAATCATTAATTATTATTATTAAACTGGAAATATATAAACTTCAATGGTGATATAAATCTAATCTATAGTGAGTTTTTTAATACATTTTACTTGGTCTACGACGCAAATTTTCCATTTTCTAAAAAAATTCTAAAATCAAAAACCTTAAATAGTTTTTAGATTACTATAGGACTTAGAAAATCTTTAAAAACTGATCAAAAATTGTATATATATATATATATATATATATATATATATATATATATATATATATATATATATATATATATATATATATATATATGTAAACATATATATATATATATATTTATACATATATATGTATATATATATATATATATATATATGCATATACCTATATATATATATATATATATATATATATATATATATATATATATATATATATATATATATATATATATATATATATATATATATATATATATATATATATATATATATATATGTATATATATATATATATATATATATATATTTATATATATATATATATATATATATATATATATATATATATATATATATATATATATATAATTTTATGTTTGGCATGGATGAATAATTTATTTTGATCGTGCCTGTTCAATATGCAAATCACCTCAAATCTTTTAATTCGATTAGATATAAAAATGATACTGAGTTATCTAAAGAAATATGGAAACTAAAAAAAAAATCTTTAAACCTTTTGTCAGATGGACAATTATTAGGCATTGCAAACCATACAACCCAACATCAAGAGTTTGAAGCCTCTGTTTGAACGATCAAGTCCAAAAATATTTGGAGTAATAAGAAACAATCTAACAACTTGTTCTTCATCAACCGTTAAGCAGACCTACCTATTACCTCCTTTTTATTACCATCAAAAACATTTTCAACCTACAATGCAAGCTAAAGACAGAATCATCACGATCTGATGATCTTTTCCTGGTTTTACTTAAATCTGCTTGCCTAAAAATTGCCCCATCACTCTATATTCTATTTAACCGCCTCATAGAAAATACTAGCTTCTCTGATCAATGGAAATTAGCGAACAAAGCATTAAATCCTAAAATCTCAAAACCGCTATCTTCCATTTGCTATTACTATCTTCTATTTGCTATTATCACTATCGTCCATTTGCTATTACGTCTGTGTTTTTCAAAGTTTTTAAACGCATTGTTACCAAATTCATTGTCCATCACACCAAACATATCTGAGTCTCAAACAAATAGAATAGTATCCTTTCAGCCCAAAGAAAAATGGACGTTATTATCCAAGTTATAGATGAATTGGAGTCATGCTATAGATAAGTTTGCAAAAGTATTTGATCTTGTTGATTATGAAAAGTTGCTACTAAAGTTGGTAAATATTCTACCTAACTGACTTATATCTTATATCGCAGCTAACTTATCTAATCGTCGCCAAAGAGTAAAAATAAGTGATCACACCATTAATTGGTAATACATTTAAGGAGGAGTACTTTAGGCTAGTGTTTTCGGCGTGATCTATTTCATTCTCTTTGTTTCCAATGTAAATACCTACCTCACACCAGAAACCATTTTCAAAAAACATGCTGACGACATTATCTACGATAAAGTTCCTACCAATTTACCTCAATTATTTGTTGATGGCCTCGCACATTGATTTGTCGCTAATGTACTAAAACTCAATAGCTCAAAATGTAAAGTCATTAGAATCCATGCCTGGTGTTCCGACACCCATGCTCTACCATCTCCCATACTCAATAAAACTGAACTTGAAATTGTATACACCTTCAAATACCTTAGAATTCTGCTCATTAAGAATCTTGATTGGGATAAACAGTACCTAAAAGTGCACAATACTATAAAATCAGTGCCATTTCTACTTAAACGCCATAAGCAAATTGAACATATTTAGCCCAATCTTTTACAAGTCTACAGCCCTTACGCTAGTAGCCACATGATATCTAGTGCCCCGATTCTTACCACTTGCAGTCTTGCGCAATAAAAAAGATACAACATTTTTACAAAAATGCCTTACACATTATTGGAGTTGATCCAACCAACTCGAGCCATTTCAATATTTATTTCGATATTGAAGAACTACTAGACAAGACCTGTGTTAATATCCTTAAAAGATCCTTGCTGACACAAACCAAGTGATAACCATTTATTTATCTTGCATCATAAGCAGAAACCCCTAAAAGTTTTCATTCCCCCTAAATACCGCAATTACTACTACCTATCAGCAATCTTTTTTTCATAAATACTTACGTATTCTTCGCAATGGTGTCAGTGACCTCTATCTGCAACAAAAATGTCAGCTCCGCTGCTTTTTAACATATAAATGATCAGTTTTTTTCTCTGCGTTTCTAGCTAACTATTTCTCATTATTTAACAATAGATAAAATTGTACAAGCCATTTTTTGTAATGTCAATCGTTTTTAAATAAAGTTTTATAAAAATATAATGGAAAATTAAAACAAGATAATGATAAATGTATATATATATATACATATATATATATATATATATATATATATATATATAATATATATATATATATATATACATATATATATATATATATATATATATATATATATATATATATATATATATATATATATATATATTTATATATATATATATATATATACATACATATATATATATATATGTATAGGTGTGTGTGTGTATGTGTGTGTGTGTGTGTGAAACTGCGATAAATGGGGTACTTAAGTCAAAGTTATCAAAAAGGTGGAAAAAATAATTAAAATAAAAATCTCTTTTTACTTGATAAAATACAAAACGAACTACTTTTTTACAAAAAAATGATTTGGGCAAAATGTGGTATAAAATGTAACATCAACATAAGTTGTAGATTTAGGGCAGATTTTACATGTGAAACTTAGCCATTTATTTTTTTCTTTTAAACCAGCAGACAAGTAATGTGATTAGCATTGGCAATCACTATAAGATACCTAACTTTCAACATTAGTCAAGTAACTTTCTTAACAGTAGAGACAGGAAAAGTCTTTTTCTAAAATTGTTTCCGTTTTCCTTCTTTATGATTTAGTGTTTAATGCATCGACTTCAGCATTTTCGCTTTTTTAAATATGCAAAACCACTTTTGTATTTCATTTTAAGCTTTTTTTCTGGTATTGCAATGATAAAGCCTGAAAATACACTTCGAAATGATCTAGTATTTACATTAGTCATAGAAGTGGTTAAAATGCTGGAAAGTGGGTATTATGCAAGTAATATTAAATAATTGGCTTATTGTGGCAATTTTATGGACATTAAAAACATTTAGATTGCTACTAAAAGCAGAATTTAGGTTTGAGGTACCATTGAGTTACCGGCACTTACAGATAGATGGCTGACAGAAGCATATAAGTGGCTAGTAAAAGCCGTGTCAGGAAACTACTGATAATAATTTCAATAAAATTAATATTAGTAGTCTCTGCTGCATACAAAAAAAACATTTCTTTTAACTGGTCATATGCTTGCTTTTTGAAACCGTTTATGCTATTTCCCATTGTAGCAGTTTCAAAGTAGGTAAAGACAAAAAGTGCAGCTATTTCAAATTGACCTTGCGTGCATGCTAAATTTCAAATAGCATTCATATTTTTGATTTTTGAGAAGCGCAGTTTCATAAAAGCCAAGGGCTGCATTTGCAACGCGCAACGAGGAGATGAACACGGAAGAATTATGCTATTTTTTCTCCCAATGTTAATCAAATCAGCACTCTAGCGTTAAACTTATGTTTATATAAAATCACTAATACTAGAGTGCTAATTTTGGCCCCTGAATATAACTATTCTAGACTGAAGAGTAAACAATTCTTTTTGTATCCACCCGCAGGAGTGACATTCAGAGCAGGCACCTGGTGGTGCTCCATCCATTTTGTCTGGCTTTATTCTTTTACGAGTAAATCGTGGACTTTCCATACCTGATTTGTCATAACTCCAGATATTTTTACATTTATTCATATATATGAACTTGTGTGTGTGTGTTGAGTTTATGTATATGAATGTGTGTTTATATACATGAAAGCAAAATTATAATCGAAGTTATATTTTATGTGGAACGCAAATGCATTTAAGATAAAAATTATTTTATTTTTATAAAAGTGTCATATATTATTAGTCTACAATTTAATTAAAAACACTTGTGGTAAAATAGGGAATATCCCACTGTTGTACCCCATGGTAGTAAATTGCTAAAATACAATACGACATTGAAAAAACGTTTACACACTTAGAAATTTCAAACTTTTGACAATATCTAGTTTTATTTTAGTTAAATACAATATGAGTTTTAGCGTATCACATTATACAATAAAATTCTACATCATTTAATATGACACAGTTAAATTACATCAAATTTAATTTGACCCACATTTACTTAGGCAAAACAAATTTAGTTAAAATTTGAAACTAGTGCAATTGATTGTGGCATTTTGTCACGAGGTAAGTTATAATCAATTACTATTTAGCTGTTTTCACACTCAGAACAATGTCTACATGCTGAGAACCATTTTACCCTAGTATCCCATTTATATATATATATATATATATATATATATATATATATATATATATATATATATATATATATATATATATATATATATATATATATATATATATATATATATATAATATATATATATATATATATTCATATATATATATATGTATATATATATATACATATATATATATATATATATATATATATATATATATATATATATATATATATATATATATATATATATATATATATATATATATATATATATATATATATATATATATATATATATATATATATATATATCAAAAGTTTTACTATTGTTTTGAGAACATTGTCCGTTTGGCAGATAGTCTTCACTAGAAATAAGTGGAATCAATTCTTTCGCCATTTAACTACCGTTTTGAACTTAAATTTTGAACTGGCGTTTTTGGATACCTTTACTTTTTTTTTCGCGTATCTTCTCCCTAATTAAAAAAAAAAAAAAGGTTATTTTGTTTATCTTTCGTTTAGGAAACTTATATTTAGTTCAATAAAATTAGTCAAATTTTGTTTAACTATAAAAAGTCATTATTATTTAAATATTTTTTTATAAATTGTTTAAGATAAAATTATTTTTTTAAATTTATAATTATGTATAAAATATTTGTAAGACTATGTATAAGTAACAACACTATTTAATAAAATATAGTTATATAAAATTATTCATTTAAAATACTGATCAAAATTATAGCACAATTGTAAAATAAAAATTGAATGATAAAAATTTAACGGAAGGTTTTATGAAAAGTTATAAATATTTTTTTCATATGAAGATTAACATTTTACTTCTTACACAACTGAATAAAATTTGAGAATACATTTAAAGGTAACATGTTTTAAAGTTCACTTAGGAATAGTACAGAAAAATAAGCTGGTCAAAATTACAGCAACCAGCTGGACCAAAAATACCAGGGAGCCTCGCCACTATTTTTTAAAGGCTTTTTCTTTTTTTTCTTTTTTTGTATAAGAAAATTCTAGAAAGAGAAAACTTTTTTAAAAAATTGGCAATTGTGCCCCCTTTGAAACTCGTGTCGTCATCCCTGAATAGTACTAGTTTTAGATAGAATTCAATTTAATATGAAGAGTAGTTGGATTTTTTAGCTCAAAAAAATTTGAGAAATACGATCTAGAACAAAATTTACTAATTTAATGTAAATTAGATCAATTGAAGTATTGCCTCAAAAGACTTGAATTTCATCCTTTAAGTCATTTTTGTTGCATAAGTTGTAATTTTCGAGTTTTTGGTCAAAAATTGACCAAAGATTTTCATTCGGATTTACATCTGGTAAAGTTGGTGGCTATTCTATGAGCCAAATATTCTTCAATGCAAAATATTCCAGAACTTTTTTGCTTTTTGAAACGGTGCGTTGTCTTTCATAAAATAACAACTTTCAGCTTCAGAACCAAAAAGAGTGTCTAATAAATCAGGTAATTTTTCAAAAACTTCTAAATAATAAAAACATCTAAACAACCTTTGTATAACTTCAATAAACTTATTCCGTTTGCAGAGAAACATCCCATATAGATATAGTTCCTCCACCACCTTGTGCTTGTGTTGTAAAACTAAAACTTCTTCATTAGGAAGACATTGTATAAACATACAATTCTTTTTATTTATGACTTCAAAATGTGATTCGTCGCTAAATATAAAACGAAGCTATTGATTTGAGTCTAATAAACATAGTTTTCACACCTTGCGAATCTCTTCTTTTTCATAGCCTTATTTCAATAACAACGTCGTTTCTGTGTGTAACTATTCAACCCTTTTTCTAACAAACGATGACAAACTGTTCTTGCTCTAATGGCTTTTTCTTTTACAGCATTCAATTTCTATACTTGAATCAGTATTTTTTTGTATAGCAAAAGTCACTGTATATTGGTCTTCTGTAGAATTAGTGCACCTACAACATCATTGGCCTGGTCAATTTTTCATTGGAAAATTTAATTTAATTTTATCAGCAATATTGACGACAAATTTCTGGAAGTTTTAGCACGTTTAGCATTATTTTAGTGTTGTTGAAGTAAGTTTTTTAAAAGTTGTTGCCGCTCAGAGCACACTGCTTTGTAACCCATTGCATAAATTATGCTATAGTTTTAAAATTACTAAAAAACTTTGAAAAATTATAAGATTTGCTATTTAAATTAATTAATTATGATGCATATATATAAATGAAATATCATTCACAACAGTGAATCAATGCATTTTATATGCACATTGTAAATGACTAATGTAAACGCATTAAAAAAATACAGTACTTATTAACAATATGATAAATGCATTCAAAAACTTTACATGACCATCTTATTTTAAGAGGTTGTGCTCTAGTTTTTACCAGTATTTTATATAAGTAAACAGTCACTACCTGTTATATAATTTTCATTACTATTAATATTATTACTTATTATTATTGTTATTAGAATTGGTATTAAAATCATTGTTATTGTTATTGTTATAATGCAAATAAATATTTGTTTATATAGATAAAAACTAAAGAATCGTAAAGATTGAAACATAAAGATCATGAAAACAAAGTTGATGAAAATGTTTAGTTAGTCAGTTTGAAACGCTTTTTATTAAAAATAATTTATAATAATTAAAATGTATACTTTTTACAGTATGTATTGTTTAATTCAAATTTAACTAAGTACTCCTCAATTCCTTTCCACACTTTTTTCAAATTTAGGAGTTGCAATGCAGGGCGCGGATTCAGAAAATTTTCGTAACTCTTGAGTAATTTGCGGAAACCGTATGCAAGTTTATTTTTTGTAACTATATGGAAATCACAAACATTTTGAAGCGTTTGCGTAAATTAAGTATGATCAAAATGTACGCTTAAACATACGCTAAAATTTATGCGTAAACTAAAGTTAAATTATTATGAAATCAGAAAACATTCAAATAAATTTTTAACTAAAATAAACAAAGTATAAATGCATCAATAGTGTAACCATTATATGTACTCAACTACTCTTGCAATTACTATAGTAACTTTTTTTTGAAGTTAAATAATTTAAGAACATTGGTTAATTAGTAGAAAAAATTTAAGAATCATAAAGTTAAACTTTAACAATATTTTAAGGGATTATAAATACAAATAAAATCTCTATGAAAATACGCTTTATATGAGACTTCGGTTAACACACTTTTGAATAATTTTTAGACACTATTATAAACTTTACCCCAAATGCTGAGAAGTTCTATAATAAGTTGTATTGTTTGTTCACCAACACATTTTTTTTGTTGTTATTGGCTAGTGCACTAATTTAAAGAAGTTTAATTTTAGAAATTAGTTAAATTTGTAGTTAGGGCTTTATTGATTTATAATCTAGTTGAATTTGAACTGCAATTAGAATAATATCTACTACCTGTAATAAATATTTAATAACTCAATAAATTTAATAACATCTATTTTAAAACTGCAATACATTAAGAAGATCAAGTTTCTAAAGTCGTTTTTTTTCAATAAATATTGTTTAGTTGTTGTTCACTAATATTTATCAATAGTTTTATTATGTAATATTTGGAATAACCAACAAATTAAAGTTGTTTTTTTTTAATTTCTGTGAATATCTCTTGTTTAATAATATAAAAATAGAATTGTGTCGTGTTTTATGATGAAGTAATATTATTAAATCTTTTTTTTTTAAACTTTAATTCTTAAGGCTTATTTTGATGAAGTTTTTATTACAATAATTATTACAACACCCCGACGGGCATTTGTTTTTTAAAATTTACGTTCTAAATGTGTTTTAAATATCTTTTAAACATTAATGTTTAAAAGACGTTTAAAAGACATTTAAAATACATTTAGATCGTAACTTTTAAAAACAAATGCCCGTCGGGACGTAATTCACCTTCATTTTCTTAAATTTTTTAACTTCACTACTCTTTGTTAGCTTGTTATGTCAACACTTATATGTTACTGTACAAAAAAACTACTCAGTAGAAAAAGAAATAAATATCATTTTTTTGTTAAAATTTTCAACAGATTTTTAATATACAGTTTTCATCCTATTTATATATAAATTAAAATAACTTGCCAAACTTTTTTTGAATTTTTCACAAAGTGTTTAAAGATTTAAGAATGATGATTTATTAAAGTTAAGTAAAGAGAAATATTGACGTGCTCCTTATCAGCCTTCTAAAAATTTAGGTTAAACAGTAATTTCTTCAGAGTTTGTAAATTACCATGGAACATGTAAGCTAGATAGGTAAAACATCTGTAAACATTTCTTTTTTCAAAAATTAAAAAATTTATAATTAACAAGTTGGTATAAAGTGCAGTAATAAGCTTAAAACAACCTATGCCTCAGCTTAAAATTTATACTTTGCATATTTTTATTATGTAAACTATATATATTTATTTAAAGGATAGACATACTTTAAGTATAAAAAGTACTTTATCAGTAGTCTGGTACAACTGCAAATACATTTTGTATTGAGCATGCTTTACAGAACATGGACATTACACTTGACAAGAAACGCATTTAGAAATCTTGCTAAATTGCACACATGCAAATTCAAGTTAAATATTTCAAGACTTTTTCATACGAAACACATTTTATATAAAAAATAAAATATTCTTAGCATGACAACTAATTTTGCTCTTTTTTTTGATAATTTTATTGTAATTTTTTGTTATTCCTTTTTTTTTAAAACGTTTGATTTTAACCACTTAGTTTGGTTTTTTTAAATCTTTTTTTTTTCCAAATATTACAACACAAAAATACCTTTACCAATACCTTTCCCAAATACAAAAATAAATAAATTATTTCCCATAATCCACTTTTATTTGGTTAACTTATTTGGCTTCAAAATCTTTTCTTGCTTTTAACGTCAGTGTTTATATGTAACTGTACAAAAAATTACTGTTCAGTAAACAAACATATAAATTTCACTTCTTTTGTTAAATTTTTAAATAATATTTTATATATAAGTTAAAGTAGTTTGCAAAAATTTTTCTAAATTTTAAAGGTTAAAGACGATATTTTATTAGAGTTATGTAACAAAAAAATATATCAGTCTCCTCAACTATGGTTGAAACAAAACATAAAAACAAAATCTCCTCAGAGCTCATAAAATGACATGAACACGTAAGCTAGTTTTGCAATTAGTACAAATGAAAAAAGCACTCTCTTAACAAGACCCCATGTTATATATTTTTTTATTTTTCTAAACCCTCTTGCACTCTATCTGTAATCAATATAAGTCAATTTTTTTGAAATCGAAGAAAATTAAAAACAATTAATAATTTTAATAAAAAGCTTAACTTCTAGGCAAATTATTCGCTTTCGCTAAATGAAGCCAAACAAGATGAACTAATTGCAAGAATTGATAATGAGATTATGGAAGAAAAAAAAAAGGATTTGCTTTTCTTCACTGAGACCTGGTTTGATTTATTGTGTGACACTCGACTTCCTGGCT